CTCTATAGCCACGAGAAACTAAGGAATGGGTGTTGGATGGATGCCCCACACTATATTATAAAATTAATTTAATTACTTTTATTTTATTATTTTTTTATTTTTTGTTGCATAATGAAATATAACTGTTTATCATTTTTTATTTCACCACATCCACATATTATCTAACTCAAATTCAAGAGATTACTACAAAATTATTTAAGTTATTAGTTTATTTTATTATTTTTTAAAAAATATTTAACAAATTGAATTAGCCGCAAAAAGTATTAAATTTAGTTTAGTTTAAAGTAACTAGATTCTTAGTTTTAATTAAAATTAAGAATAAGCATAACCTACAATTATAAATTAAATACTTAAATTGAATTAAATTCAATATATAATTTTTTATTTTTTAATATTTCATGGCAAACAGGATCCCATGCACAATTTCACGTGTAATTTCACGAGGGGAGATGCTTCCCACCCCGCCCTGCTTATGTCAGGAAAAATTACCACCCCAAATCTAAACTGTAAAGCATTAGACCATGCAATAAATCCATGAAAAATAATTCATTGCAACATTTAAATCAATATGTTCCCTTTTTCTGATTACCTAATACTGGAAACAAAAGACCCTGTACGATGCAGCAAAAGGGGAAGCTGTGTGGCCTTTCACCAGAAATGTTATTGCAGACAATTCATAAGCATTCTACTGAATTCTAGAAACAAAAATAATTGAATTCAGATGAAAATTTTTATGGGCCGCCATGCATCTTTCATACTGAAGTGATCACCATGTCAAATAAAACTCAACTTCATATGTTTTCTCGCATACTGCCTTTGACAAAGCTTCCCAAGAAAAGGGTACCTGTTCTTTAACCCCTTTTTCTTTCTTCACTATAACATGCTTCACCTTAAAAGAATGCCGCCAACATTTACTCTTGCTTGAACTACAGCAGCCCTGATCTTTTCGACTATCCATCGTTTCGAATAGAACCTGTTTAGCATTCCCATAAACCATCAATAATCATTACGATGAAAATTTCTGAAATTTAAAGCACTTTTCCAAATGTATGCAGCTCTTGGAAAGTAAATTATATTGCACATACGGAGCCAATCAATAAGTTCTCTAAACAATATGCCTCCCCTGAACATTACTGAATCAATTGGACATGTTTACCTTCTGTTTAAAATATTCACTAACAAAATGCAAACTGCAAAGATTTATTGAGATCAAACTACACATACCTTACAAAGCGGTTCTACCATGGTGATGGTAAACATCACTGCTAGGATTTCAGGATGAAAACACCACAGAAAACCATCAATAAGAGATTCCAAATCAAACGTCAAACTGGGATGAAATACTTTTAGAGCCAAGCATTTGAGGGCATATGGTGGAGAAATGCACCTTTTACTTGCTTCATCCCCATCAAATGTAATCTACATAATATAAAGAAAACAAAATATGTAAGTAAACGAAAAAAGAAAAGAAGAAAGAAAATTTGTTAATTGATTCACATTCACAATTATAGAATAAATAAACATGCATGAGATGGGTGCATAAGCAAGAGTACCTTACTTCTTAACTTGATTGATAAGACAAGAGTTTCAATTCCACATTGCAATTGCAGAAGACACTGCTTCAATCTGATGTACCAATAAGTATCAAGAGATCTTTCAGATCTAAGCATAAATTTCTTCAGTTTGATAGGGACATTGAGTGAAAAGTATGAGCATTTGGAATGCAGAGGGCCGAAATAGGAGAATGAACTTAGGTTTGGTGCAAAAATCTCTATCTTACCAAACTGCATACAATTATCTAACTCCAATTCCTTAAGCTGGTTGCAAGAAATCTTAAACCCTCCGTGAATACGGCAGGATGATAACCGGATAACCTCAATGCAGGGGAACTTATGATCATCAAAACTCAACAACTCATAAATATCTACACTTGTTAGACACAAGGTTACCAGATAAGGAAGCCTAATGGAACTTGGAAAAAAGGTGTTCCCACAAGAAATCTCTAAAACAGTCAATGATTTCACAGCAAAGATTTCTCGTGGCAAACTATAGGGATTTTTTAGTCTTACATCTAAATTGAGGTATAGCTCTTTAACATGTCTTTCTGCAACCAATCCTATCCATTTGTCAACAAGAGAATGGTATTCCGGTTCGACAAGACTAAAGGACAGTCTAAATCTCTGAATCCCAGAGTTGTATTTGTAAAATGATTCTAGTTTGCGATCCACAGCATCAATGAATGTCTCTGAATTAAAATTGTCCATTATCGGAATATAAAAATCATGCTGGAAGAAATCAAAAAAGGGACAAGAGTCCCCTAAATGCCGCCATCTCTTGGACAAGACAGTGGTTCGAGCAACAGTTTTTGTGGAAAGGTAAGACAATATGTGATGAAGGATTCCATCAGGCAAATCTGAAATCCGATCAACAGGAGTAGCCTGAATGCAACAAGTTTGCTTCTTTGCCATGGTATTGCACTAATTTAAACACAATTTCTGCATCATCAAACAAAATATAATAACATGAATTAAGCATACTTAGGGAAAAAAAGTCAAAAAGGAAAAATGAAAAATTTTCCAAGATTCATGGACTGCAGACAAAATAACCAAAAGAAAATAAATAATATAATATGGAACAGATAAACAAAAAGCATGAATGGGACAGCACAACTTATGCAATTGAGAAAGCTAACCCAGCTTGAATTAAACAATTTAAGCAAGACCCTAATTTTTTATTGGTCTTTTGGATCGCTTTCGTAAACCCAAAGTTTAAGTATTAACATAGCTTAATACCTCTAAAATTATGAATCCTAAACCCATTAGGAGATTAAGCCTACAAACACAAGTCTGTCCAAATTCACAAACTTAAACGGATCAAAAAGGCCTTTTTTACACAAATCAATAACAAAGCCGAATATTTATCCAATTTAAGATCTAACAACACAAACACCACAAACAAACGAAGGAAACAAAACCATATTCTATCTCTACAAAGATGACCTAAATCTGGGTTTTCCTTCATCAACAAGCAATCAATATTCATATTCACAGTTAATGGAAAGAGATGAGATTCTGATAGAGAACAATGCAGAGACTCAATCAATATGCACAACAACATTGAACGCATTCAATCACAACCTCTAAATTCTAAACATCACTAGTATAAAACTACTATGAAATTCGAAAAGAAACTGTGGGAGAAACGCTTACCCCGGGGATGATTGAATCAAGAAATTTCTCTTTTTCCAATTTCGCTCCCTCCTTTGATCTGCCGCCACTCGCCGGAGAGCTCTCCCCTCTCTTCAAATCTTTTTTTCTTAAAAATTAATAATAATAAAAGAAAAAAAAATGCTGTGCTGCTCCGTTTGCACAATTAAAATTATAAAAGAGAATAAATCTTTTAATACGAAGATTCACTCCTTTAATATAATTTATTAAAATTCCGATATACTTTAAATTAGTAAATTGTAAAATTAGACCCTCATAATAAAATCAGAATTTAAAAAATAATTTCAACTAGGAATGGGTTTTCAAATTAAACTATTTTTAAAAAGTGCTAAAGTTATCGCCGTCTAATTAGTTACCAGTAATATCAAGTTATAATTTTTTTAATATATTATAATTATTTACAAATTAATTAGGGTTGAGGGATGAGGCAAAGAGTTTCCGAACATTCAAACGTATAATTCAAACGAAGTGAACAACGTTTATTTAGAGTTCAATGTCATTAGATCGAAACAGGTTATTCATCAAGTTAAAACTTTTAATTTATATAGATACATATATATATATATATATATAAGTTTGATAAAATTTGAAGATGAAAAAAAAATTTCTTATCATATAATGTAAATAAAGTAATGTTATTAGAATGATTGGTCTCTAAGATGGTCGGTCTCTTATAAATTTTTTTTTATTTTTTATTTTAAAATTTTAAAGTTTATATTTCACTTTTTCATCCTATAATACCAAAAAAAGTGTTAAAGTTTTTAATTATCCTTATAAAAATAAATTAAACTTTCAGCTGCTTGCCCATGTAATGGGTTACTAAAACTTTCAATTTTGGACTAAAATAACCCTTAAACTTCAAAAAAATAATAAAACATTTCAATTCTTCCATCAGTTATAAGCCAAGTTAGCCAACTCTTAGTTTTTTTTTTTGTTTAAAGCTTCTAATATTTAGAAATAATATTAAATTTTAACTGATCTAAATTTAAGACAAATCAAATTTTATAAAGGAAAAACTCTTTCATTACATGTTTCTTATTCAAAAACTTTTAAACTCAAGATTTTATTTTAAAAAATTGAACTTCTTCTTTTAAATCAACAGATTATTAGAATAAACCAACTCTTATACACCTCAACACAAATTTGGATAATTTTAAGTTTGCATTTCTTGTATTGTGTGGTATATTTAAAAATAATAATTTTAGTTAAATATTAACTTTAAAATTTAAAATTTAAAATTGATTTGTAAAACAATACTTATTATCCTAGAGGTGAATCCAAAATGTTGCAACGGCTTGTTAATTAAAATTAAGTTTAGGGTTTATGGAGCTCGATTCATAAGTTTTCTTTTGTATAACAAAATTGAATATGTTGTTTAGAGTCTATTTTGGATAAATAAAAATTAGTAAAAAAATGAGAGCAAAAAAAGGGAGTGTTTTCAAAAGAGAAGAAATAATCGATGTTAATTTCATTTAAATAAATATAAGTGAAGGGGATGTAAAAATAATATTTTTAATTTTACTAAATAATTTAATAAAAATTAAGTTTTATAATTTGAATTATATGTCAAGTAACTTATCTTATAAATTTATTAAAATATTTTTAATAAAATAATATAAAAAGTATTTTAATAAAATAATAAAAAGTATAAAAGAATATAAAATAATATTTTTAATAAAAAGTATTTTTATTAAAAAATATTTTAATAAATTTATAAGATAGAAAGTATTTTTAATATGTAGTGTGTTTTATAAAATATTTTTTATTTTAAAAAATAAAAAATAAAATTTTATAATTTAATTAATTAAATAAGTAATTTAAAAAAGATATTTATTTTTTCTTTAAAAATGAAAAAGAAAAGTAAAATATACTCTGCATTCTCTGTATTCCCTCCAATTTGGGGATGAAAACTGAGGACACGTCCCCTCACTCTCACCCTCTGCTCCAAATCCTTGAAATTTTCCCGTTGTAGAATGTAGACTACGTATTTGTTTCCAGAAGTGTTAGCAGCTACAACAATGGCAAAGAAAGAAAGGAGGAGGTTTGTTGGATTTGGGGCATTGTCTGTTTTTTCCTCCTCATTTTTATCCAAATTTAGCCAAAACTGTAACAAACATCTGTTCATGCTGTATCCATGGAAGGGGTTCTATTTCCTTCCTTCTTCTTCTTTTTCTCCTCTCCATCATGACTGTACCTGGCCTCCGGCTAGGCGGTGGAGGTGGGGTTGAAAAGGGGAGAGGAAAAGATCGAAACTTGAATCGACTCTGACCCCACCTAGGTGTGCCCCTTTCTGCTGCTGTTTAATCACAGCTTCAGGCATTTTAGCAATGGCACTACTGAGATCAGCATCGTCGATGGCGGAGGAGGGTTCTGTGTTGACGGCCATTGCAATCGATAAGGACAAGAATAGCCAGTGCGCAGTGAAATGGGCGGTGGATAATTTGTTGACAGGAAATTCCTCCCAAATCATCCTCGTTCATGTCCGAAATCAAAGCTTGCATCCGTGTAGGTATCTCTCTTTCATCATGTCGTCATTGATAAACAACAAATCAAAATGGAAGCTTTAAACAAGTTTTGTAGGATTTATGTTCCTTTATAACAACTAATTACATATATGCAGCGTTGTTATTCCATTCTTTGCAACCGTTTTTTGTATTTGATTTGTGTTGTTGGCTTTTACAGATGATTTTGAAGTCTCTCCTAAAGAGGGTCGGCCACCAACTGAAGCTGAATTCAATCAATTCTTCCTTCCCTTCCGAGGATTCTGTGCTCGAAAAGGGGTGAGTTATCAAGGGATTCTCCAGTGATCATTAGGGATATTTAGAGTTTAGACCACTTTTAGCTGTAAGAATGCATTTTGGTGTTAATAAGGGCAGACTTGAGCATTTAAATGAAGAGGGTAAATCTCATCAAGTTTGACATTTTTTGATGTAGTAAATTATCAACAAATCATATGTGTGAATTTCTAAGTTTGGTGATGGTTTTAAGCACTTATCATGGATAAAGCAGTTGGTAACTTGATATGTTAACATAATATGGTGCAAAAACTGGTGATTAAGTTCTGCAAAAATCTCATATGATATCGGCACTACCAACTAAAAGGACTGACTTTTATCAATAATTGAGATTTCAGATTGAGGCAAAGGAGGTTGTGCTCCATGACATTGATATCGCAAGTGCAATTGTAGATTACGGCATTCACAATTCAATCAACAATATTGTTGTTGGTGCTTCCAGCCATAATTCTTTTATAAGGTCTCTCTCTCTCTCTCTCTCTCTCTCTCTCTCTCTCGCTCTCTCTCTCTAGTAGTTTCACAATGTTTATATGTAGTTAGTTTTTGGAAGTCTGTTGGGGAGACAATGGACATTGATTTTGGGCAATGGCAAAAGGGATTTATCCCTTCTACTCATTGATTATTGAAATGAAAGCTCAGGGACTGAATTTTATCAATTTGCACCCCTCCACTTTCAGTAATTATTGAAATAAACCCCTTTACTGTTTTCTGAAATAAATCTCCTCACATACTTTCAAATTGAATGAAATTAGCCCTTTACATTTCAATTGAAATCAATTAGCCAAAATTTTTCTGATGACATGGCATTTTCTTTATAGGCTGGACAAAACATGAAATCACACTCCTTTTTTATGCTCATTTTGTCCAGTAAAGAACATGTTGTGTTATCAGAAAAATGGGGCCAAATCAACAAGAGTGGGAATGGCGGAATGATGAGTTATGATTACATTATCTGTTAAATTTTGGCCAATTGATTTCAATTGAAATGTAAAGGGGTAATTTCATTCAATCTAAAAGTATGAGGAGTGATTTATTTTGGAAAAAAGTACAGTTCGTTTCAATAATCACTGAAAGTAGAGGGCTACATATACTCCTTTTGCCTTGGGAAATTTACAAAGTTGTATTCTGAATCTCACTTAATGTTATTTCCATCAAAGTTTCTGAAATTATCAAAATTACTAAATAAGTCCAAGTACTAAATTAGTACTTAAACTTCCTACGAAAATAACATTGCTTAAAGTGCTTGCTGCCTTGAGGCGGTGCGCCATCAAAATACCTGCTACTTTCAGATTACTAATGCTTTAGCCTTCACTCCTTTACCATACATTGGATTTATGTCAACTATATTCTATTTACATGATTCATCTGCTACTAGAGTTAAATTATCGTGTGCATGAGCTGGTAAAGTATTTCTGCTTATTTTATTGAACAGGGGAGAGGATTATGCTATGCTTCATTTCATTAAGTAGTCTTCTAAAGTAGTTGAAATATGGATGACTTGCATATAAATTATGCAACATGGGGGCATTGCTAAAAGCCTGAAACAAATTTCTTCTGCAGTACAGATGAAAGAAAAAAAAAAAAAAGTCATTGAACAACTTTACGAGTGAATAGTAAGCTTAGACCCTCTGGCTGCTAATGATTATTACCCTACTCAGTTTGTTGAGTAGGCCTGGGTGAGCAATCCTAGTTTGCAGTTTTCCCTTTTAACAGGGTTGTTGCTACCGTCTTCATTGCAGGAAATTTAGAAATGCAGATGTGCCTGCTAGCTTACTCAAATCTGCACCAGAATCCTGTGCAGTGTATGTTATATCAAAAGGAAAAATTCAGTCTTCCCGTCTGGCAGCCCAAGCTCAGACACCCACAAGTGGCACAACTAAAATAAAAGGACAATCCTTAAAGGGATTCCGTACTTATTCTAAACTTGCACCTGATAGCCCCAGAGTGGAAGAGATGGACCTGTAAGTGAGGAAACATAATAGCTATATGTCTTCTTGGTGGTGCTAACTAAGAAATCTAAAATTTGCCAAAACTTCCAAGTTCCAACGCTCTGAATAGTTTTGTTGCGTTTTATAACTATTGATTATTGAAGATTTCCACAAAGTCAGAATGGTAAGGTTTAAAAGTTATCTGCTTCTAGAAATGACCCTACATGAAAATATAATCTTTGGAGAAAAAGCTTATGGTTGGACCCAACAATGTAGAATTGGTATTCTATAGAGATGTCTAGCATGTTAGCAAGCATTGACTTGGTTTAACTTTCACCTGAAATGTTTAGTAGTGCCTTTCATTTTTAGCCACTTGTTTCTTTGATCTGATTCTTTCTTGCTTGTACAGAGGTGTTTTAAGCCACCGGGGTAGAAGTGATTCCTTAAAGGTTTCACCTAGTACCAAATTCAAGTTGATTGATGAGATTCCTTCACCTCCACTGTCATTGGGCAGTCAAACATCGGAATCCTTAGATAGAGATTCACTGTCTGATGGAAATGATATGCCAGGGCCACCTAGTTTCCCATCAACAACAGATGCATCTGGTGAAAAGTTAGAATTCACTTTGAAGAGTTCCACTTCTCTCTCCCGTCAAAACCCAGTAAGTATTTGATCGATCAAATTAATCAATATTTGATCAGTTAATAGTTGTACTGTTTGGAAGTAGATTTTGGATACAATGATTGACTGGATATGCAAATGTTGTAAAGTTGACCTGGAGAGAAAAAAGGGTGGGGTGGGGTTATCAGCAAGTCAAGTATTCTGATCAAGATACTGTTGAATTTACTACATTGCTGGTCATTTTTCATGTTTTCTTGCTCACATCTAAAGATATTATTAAGTCTCATAAGGGTAAACAATAAACTTAATGACCTCTAGAGGTTACTGTTTGGTTCTTTGGTATTCCTAATTTATTTTCCTATAACATAACAAGACAAACTGAAGATCTATTTTAGCACTAGGAAAACTGAAGATGGTTTTACAAATATTAACATTCAAGTATGACCATTGCCTAGTAAATAATCAATAGTAAATCCAGTGGCTGATGGCTTTTGCCATAGGCATGTCATTGAAACTCTAAGCTTTAACTTGTAAATAGCCCTTTGACGTAGTGATGTTTTGCAATTCTTTCTGTTGGTGTTGCATAACAAAACTGAGATCCATCTGCCTTTTTACAGCAATATTTGGAGGCTGAGATGAGGAGATTACGGAATGAATTGAAGCAATCTATGGAACTATATAACTTGGTTAGCAAAGAAGCTGCTGCATCAAAACAAAGAGTAAGATCATATCTCAACTTCAACTTGCCAATGTGATCATTTGATATGGTGAATCAATCTAAGCTTATTTGTGTTCTCAGGCAAGGCAACTTCGGGAATGGAAAGCAGCAGAAGAGTGCAAGTTGGAGCAAGCCAGGCTTGCTGAAGGCGCAGCATTGGCTTTGGCAGAGGCAGAGAGGCAGAAGACCAAAGCTGCAATGGAAGAAGAACAGACGGCACAACTTCTAGCAGATCTAGAGGCACAGAAAAGACAACTTGCAGAAATGAAGGCCAAACGTGAGGCAAATGAGACAAAAAGAGCATTGGACCGGTTGGCTTACAAAAAAGCAATGTACAGAAAATACAGCATTAATGAGATTGAAATTGCAACAGATTACTTTGCAGACTCGCATAAAATTGGTGAAGGGGGATATGGACCAGTTTTTAGAGCCACGCTTCATCACACTCCTGTTGCCATCAAGGTCTTAAGGCCAGACATGTCCCAAGGACAGAAGCAATTCCAGCAAGAGGTACTTCATTCTTCTTTTGCTTTTTTTTGCAAGAGCATTTTCTTATGAATATGGTAAGAATGGTTAATATGGTTTCTTAAAAACAAAAAAAATCATCTTCCTCTTCATTTTTGGCTGTGCAGATGCATGGTTGAATCGTTCATGGTAGAGTGTGATGTAATATTGGTTGTTGGCTATCTTCTTTCTTTTTGCTTGAAAGAAGTTAATATGAGTTACTCTTCTTTTTTTTTTCTTTTTTTTCTTTTTTTCTTTTTCTAATTGAAATATCCTATTCTTAACTTAAAAGAAAAATGAATATCCTATTCCAGTCAAACTCAGAACTGGACATGCATGAAAATCTGTCATTGAAACTCTTTGACCAAACTTACCGTCCTAAAGAAATTCTTTCACCTCCTATCAAACATAACTGTTGGTAGCTATGTTGATACTGTTTTGCTAAAGGTGTATCATTCAAAATCTAATCACAATGTAGGAGAGTGAATAATGTCATGAATTAAACATCCTGAGGTGTATGGGAGAGTTCTTAAAATATAAAAAGTGTATGGGAGAAAATAAGGCTTGAAATAGTGAAGAACAACAATAACAGCAAAAGCCTTTAACTAGTTTGCTACCATTTTCTTCACCCAGATACAGGAAGAGATATAGGAAAGTAACATGATTAATAAAGGGATGAAAATAATTGTAAACAACAATGATCTTATCTGGATGTTTTAGTGTCAAAAAACTATCTAACCCATTTTCCCTCTATTTTGTCATGTAGGTTGAAGTTCTAAGCTGCATGAGACATCCACATTTGGTTCTGCTCCTTGGTGCCTGCCCTGAGTATGGATGCTTAATTTACGAGTACATGGAAAATGGCAGCTTAGAAGACAGGCTATTTAGGAAAGACAACACTCCCTCAATCTCATGGAAAACCCGCTTCAGAATAGCTGCTGAAATTGCAACCGGCCTTAATTTCCTTCACCAAACAAAGCCAGAACCACTGGTGCATCGTGACCTTAAGCCTGGCAATATTCTCTTAGACCAGAATTACGTGAGTAAGATCAGCGATGTTGGTTTGGCCCGGCTGGTTCCACCATCTGTGGCTGATAGTGTCACTCAATATCGCTTGACAGCAGCTGCAGGTACATTTTTTTACATTGATCCAGAGTATCAGCAAACTGGAATGCTTGGTGTAAAGTCAGATTTGTATTCATTGGGTGTGGTGCTATTACAAATTATTACGGCTAGGCGTCCAGTAGGTCTGACCATCCAAGTGCGGGAGGCCATTGAGAAAGGAAATTTACAGGAAGTGCTTGATCCAACTGTACCAGATTGGCCTATTGAAGAAGCTTTATCATTGGCAAAACTAGGTTTACAGTGCTGTGAACTGAGGAAAAGAGACAGACCAAATCTTGCCTCAGTTGTATTGCCTGAGCTGAACCACCTAAGAGATCTTGGATCAGAAAATGAAGCCACCATCAGTGAGAAGACTATGCATGAACAGCATTCTTGCAATTCAGTTCCAGAAATGGAAACTCATTCGAATTCAGTTCCAGAGTTTGAAAGTCATTCAAATCAGGTTTGTTACCATATGAAATCACTATATAAAACCAGCTAGTTGTTATTTGCTTATACACTTCAATTTGCAACTGCTTCTCTCTGAACCTGCTATTATTCATAAGAATTTACTTATTTAGAGTTTTCCATATAATTTTTTTATAATGCAATGAAGTGTAAGATACGAAAAAGTCTAGAACTCCCTCTGAAGACTCAGAATGAGCAAATGGTTATAGGATGTTATATTTTCTTCATTTTATTGTCCTTTTGATCAACACCTGCGGCTGCGGAAAGCAATGTTATTGTTTCCTTCATTTTATTGATGGTTACATCCCAAACGATAGAGAATTGATTAATGGAACTCAAATTTGCATGCTTGTTTGATTGATGATTTAGATATGTTAATCAAACCTTCCACGTTCCCTGAAATCTTCATGCAATAGATTTCCAATTACATGTTTCTATCATGTATAAGCAGGAAGGCCATGAAGAAGAATCCTAACATGGAAATGGAAATTCAACATAGATCTTCGTGCAAAGTGGGTTGCAGCACTTGAAGTACAAGACTAGAATGTGGAACATGAGAAGATCCAGCATTCTTCCACCATCTAGTTTACAAATAGGAAGGTCAAGGAGGAAGTCCATCGAAGCAGCTTGTTGGTCATTTGTAAGTTGTTCAGTAACTCCTGCTCAGCTAAGAGAATTGAAGTCATTTTCATACCAAACTTACAAACATTGAACTATGCAGTAGCCACCCACAATCCTCTGTACTGATTTTGGATACCAAAACAACAGTTTTTAAGTTTTCCAGGATCTGTTTACTTGTTATTTATCAGATAAAGATGAGACTTAATATAACCAGCAAGCAATAAGATTTCTTCATGTATGATAGAGGGAAATGGACAGAACAATTAAAAGAAATTGTGCCTAAAAGTTATAACCAATGTATATCGTAGAATGTCAAAACGAAAGATGGCCGATGCACCAATAAAATAAAAAAAATAAAAAAAAAAACTCCTTTATTGAAAGTAAGAGGTCCTCTAAGAGATGATTTTTGGGTTAAATTTCAATCATTGACCATGGTGATCATGTGGGGTATATGGGGCTCAGATCATCAGCAATGATTATTATAAATTTGTGTAAAATTTTTATATTAATTATTATTGTCCGAGGTTTTAATATTTAAGTTATATGTGTGTGGTGATATACAACTTAAAATAATAAAAAAAAATTTATTCTTGACTTATAATCATAAGGTGTTATTAGGAAAAATTTTTTTGACTTATTATTATAAATTGTTATTAAATAAATAGATATATATAATATTATAAATAAAATTATAAATTAAAAAAAGCTATTATATAATGATGTCTTATGATTATGAACTAATATATAATTTTTGATAGATTTATATGGAAGAGGTTAACATCTTTAGTTTTGATCTTTTTGACAATAAAATTATATAAAGAATCTCAAAATATTCACATGATATTTAACTATACATACTTACAATATCATGTCTTTGACTTAAATTAATAACTCTAATAACATTAGGCCATGTTATGTTATGTTTTAAAATTTCATCGTTAAAAAATATACCTCATAAAGTTTTTCATAATGTCTCTCACTATTGGGGATGATGCTCAAAGAAAAAGACTCCGACCGACCTTCCACCCTAAAGAATTCATAAGCCCAAGCCCAACTGCCCAACAGCTGAACATCTAGGGATTTCATACAAATATCCGTTTAACCTTATTAGTTATAGTTTGATATTTGATCATTAATTTTAGATTAAAAAAATTAATATACTATATAAATAATAATTAAAAAAATTTATCAAATAAAAATATTTAACAAGAACTACAAATAAGGAAAAAAATTTAATTATTATTTATATAAATTATTAAATTTTCATTTGAAATTTATATAAAAAAATAAAAAAGTCAAACTAAAATTACTAAAATTAAATAAAGAGAGCAAATTTTTCTTATTAATGAAGGTTAGCATCTTTAAAAATTCCTAATTAAAGAAATAAGAATTAGGTAGATTTTACCAACAAAAATTTGATTAAATTAGTACCCATTAACTTAAAAACTTTGATTTAAGATTAAAGTTACAGGTTTAAACATTTTTATTGCCAAGTTGTTAACCCTCCGATGTATCCAAAAAATTAAGTGGAAAAATTTTTTTTTTGAGTGAAAAAGTTATGTGGATTTTGCAGAGTTACATTGTATCTTTGATAAAATTTTTTAAAAGTGCTGACAAAATTGGGCCATGGTTATAGCCACTAACCATCAATAATAATGTTATAGATACTAAAATGTTAAAATATATTTTAAATTAATTGATAAAAGTAATTAATAATTAATAATTAATAAAATAATTGATATTTATTAATTAATAAATTAGCAAAATTATATTTTTCAATATTATTTTTTTAAAAAAAATCAAAATTTTAGTCTCTTGACAACACTAATGGTAACAGTAATCGCACCCACAAGATCTTCATATACTTTGAAAACTGGTATGATTAGATAGCAGAAAAAAAGAAAAGAAAACTTAACTAGAAAATAGGAAAAATCGAAACGTGCTCGCATTAAAAAAAATTTTGTACTTATAATAATAACCTTACAATAAATTCGATAAAATTAGAAATATATTCTCTTTCTCCTGATATCCGGCAAACAATTGCCTTTTTATCTTCATGGATTCTTTTAGTTTAACTAAGGGGAATTGATTTTCTGTGGATAATTCACTTATTTATGGTTGTTAACTGAATGTTATCACCAAGCAAGTGCCTAGAGATTTAGAATTGAATGGAAAATTATTTGTCCATTTCATATATCACGTGTTTGATCATCATCATTATCACCCAAAAGCTATAATTTGGATTTTTACTGGGTGCTAGTGCTAGAGCTAGAGAAAAAGAATTACGAAAGTGTATGCGTGGGAGGAGGCTTGAAGCTGTTATTGTTCTTAAGAGTCACAGTAGCATAACTTGTGAAAGGAAGCTGTAAATTAATGTTAGATGGAAGGCTGACTATTTTGTGCATTATATTTTTCAGTAGAACTGTTTTGCTTGCTCTTCATCATATTGCATTTCAACCTTTTAAAAGTCATAATTTCAGATCAAAATATTTTAGAGATTGATCCAAGAGATTATTATAGTCTTGTGACAGAGAGCAGGATATGAAACCACTGTTACAAACCATACCATTCAAAGAATATATACCAGGGAAAAAAAGAAGGCATTTCAAAGGTAGTTCTGTAGCAGACCTATGGCGTTGGGGTATACATTTCCCACTACATTCTTTGACAGGCCACCGGATGGTCTTTGGTTCTTTTCTCTTGGGTGATACTCTAGGGTGTGTCTTTCCTGCTGTTGTAGAGAGTAATTGCTGTCTTAGCTTCTTATGTACCCCAAAAAAATAATAATAAAGAGAAAAATAAAAGAATCAGAAACAATATAATCTCTCTGCGGCAAAGTTATTTAAATAAAGTATCCAAATAATCTTTGATATCGACTGCATTCTTCCAGACCTGTTCCTTTTATGCTTGAAAGAGGTACCTATATTTGCAGCCATGTTGAGAAGTGGCTAGATATTGGTTTTAGAGTCTCTAACTGAAAATTTGAAATGCAAGCCATAGCATTTTTGCGTGGCTAACATTGTGATCTTTGGCCAATTTTCTTGCAAGAGGAGTCGCAAATATACAATTTTCTCAAGGAGGTGAACCGAACTTGAAATTTGGAAACTGCTGGCTCTGATGAACTGACTGGTTTCTCAACTGCATCCTGCTTCGGTGGGGTAGGTGCTTCTGGCTCTTTCAGAAATATCCTCCTCTTCAGCACGAACTGATAAATGCAAAAAAAAAAAAAGAAAAAAGAAAAAGCAATAAAGTGTACCTGAATCAGATGCACACCCCTTCCATAAGTGTGACTGTAAACTGATAAATGAATAAGGGACAGAAGACTCACACTGATTAATAAGCAACTACCAAGGAAATTAAATTAGGAAAAGAATAAAATGTGACAGAAAATAGTAGAGAGCAATACCATGAAAGTTGTCTATTCAATACATATCCAGCCATGGGATTTCTGAATTTCACTGTCATCCTTGATAGATTATTCTTAGACAAGCCAGTGGACACCTAAAGAAGATGAGAATCTGTCACTTCTTTGCTGATCTTAATGTAAAATGAGAACAAAATCTTACAAGGAAGACTTGGAGAATCAAGTAGAAGAAACATAGAATTGCAGGAAGGATCCAATGTTTAAGCTCCAATAATTGAGGAGAAGATCCAAAGAAAAAGAATAAACTTACAGTTGTGTGAGAGAGAAACTCAGATATCCTATCCCTTTCCGCACATTCATAGCCCTGATGATAATTCTTCCTAATATCTGCACAGTAATCACTTAGAATAACATAAGTTTCAACAAATATGCATGAATTCAGATGGGTGAAAATGACACAATATTTGATGCTCAATGAGAACAATATTTGACATCCTAAAGTTATTCAAGCAATTAGGCTTCAGGTTTTGGATAGCAAAGTTACATAACCCAAGCATCTGGCATAGAATATAATATAAATCAAGCAGTTGCATACAGAAGAGTTGCTTCTACCTGGATTCTCAATAGATACATGGAGACGTATATTTGCATGCATTGATGAGCAGTAAAGGAAGATCAGAAAAATTCATGCAAGCTTATTGTTCCATAACTAGCAGAATGGAGAGTGATCCACACCAGTGCAGTGCTTTAACACATGCTCAGTCATGCAAGTTTACAGGTTATGATGATTCAATGGCAATATGTGAAACACTAGGGATCCAAAAATCTCAGATGCTGCAAGTAACCCAATTATGACTCGCCCAGCACTCAAAACCTAACAAGAAATATTCTAAAAAACCATCTTCAAGCCATGTAAGACACACATCCAAACTTATATTGCCTACGCTATAGATGTCAAAATAATAGGGATAGATTTTTATG